GCTGGAGAAGTGCTGGTGGCATGGCTGTGGCGTCTTTCCTAGCCTGCTTCACAGTGGCCATGTTGTGCATCTCTAACCGTAACTATCCATCCGGGCTCCCACTGTCACGCTCCTCTTCCCCTTCCCCTGAGCTGCGCCTGTGGGTGCCTGCACGAGGCCTCACTCCGTCCCCCTCATCACGGTGGACGAGGAGCCCGAGGAGCGTGTGCCAAGGGGCAGGGCGGTAGCATGAGCTGTCAGGGCACCGTACAGGTTGTAAGGGTATTGCACAAGTGACACTTTCCGGGACGAGTGCTGGGATGACGGGGCAAATTGCCTTCCTGCAGAGGGGCCAGGGGGTCCTCCAGTGTATGGAAAGTGGAGCCTTTCCCTCCTGTTAGCAGTCTCCTCCCTTTGCCAGGGGTGTTTGGTCATCTCAAGGACACATGTTTTCCCCCTCCCTTTGGCCAGTCTGTTAGTGTAGCAGTAGCAGGTTTGGTACTGCCAGTCCTTCTGGAAATCTCTTGGTTGAGACTCAACCTCCTTGGCTTGGCTGCTTCCACTGGTACTAGTGGTCCAGTTGGCCACTGCTGTACTGGTGGCTTTCGGAAAGTACGGAGAAGAGGGTCCAGTCACTGCTCAGCTGCTGGGTGTGTGTGTGTAAAACGTGTGCACCTGGATGTCAGGGAATGGGGAGCGTGTGTGCTCACTGTGGTGCCATTCTGTTTGAGAGGTCAGCAGAGGCGCCCATTACTGGTTATAGTGGTGAGAGGTCAGCGGAGGTGCCTGTTACTGGTTGTAGGGGAGCTGGAAGTACGGTGTGGGAGCAGATGTGTAAGGGGGATGCTGCAAACGCAGGGATGTGGGGCAGTTGGCGTGGCTGAGGATGCTGTTACGGCTCATTAGTAGACAGCACTGCAGGTCTTTTCCAGTCAGCAGTCTGGGTTCATTCAGAGCCCGAGAAGATGTATGTCTATGCTGAGGGGACCCGGGTTGTGGTGAAGAGAGAAGAAAGTGAGCTTACACTTCAGAAAGGCTCAAAAGATTTATCTCCTGCAATGCAAAATCCTGCACAGCCAACATGTGCCAGTAGGCAGGAGGAGCCCTGCATTTCAGACCTCTGCAGCAATCTCCAGTGACCAAGCAGGGTTTGATTGTGTAGTCCCAGTCAAATATAGCCACCCTGAGTGAAAACAGCGTGTAGTGTCCAACAAAGCGAGTTATACCTGCCTGCCCTCCCAGCCAGACACGTGGCTGGGTCTACTGCATGGCAGTGGGTTTGGGGGGTGGGGGTGCGCTGCCCCACTTCTTCTGCCGTCACCCTGGCTGCTGGATTTTTGGCTCTGAGGATACTGCACTTGCCTGCTATTCTTCCCTGGATAAATGTGGGAGGCAGCAGTGCTGGGGGGGAGGTAGGGGTTGTGAATAATGGTGATGGTAGGAGGGGTTTGTTCCAGTCTGGACTGGTCCAGTCTAGTTCTTTCCTTCCTGTCACCGTGTGAACAATGCTGCTGCCACCGTGGCTGATGCTTGTGACATGGCAGCCCCCTCCCCGCGTGCACCAGGCTGTGATGATCTCCCTTGCCTGCCAAGCCCCCCGCGGCTAGCCGGCCTGCTGCCCCCTGTCCTGTCCTTCCTGCCGAGCCTTGAGCTCTGGGGGGAAGGTTGTTAAACCCCAGAAAAATAGGGTTCTTTACAAGACTTTGGGAAGGGGAGGGTGTTGTTTGATGGTGAACGGCAATGGGAATGTTTCTCCTGTGGGGACAATTTTACTGGAGGCAAGAGGCAGGATTACTGCCTTTCAGCACTGCACTTGCCCCTGGGCAAGCAGCTTGTGCCTCTCGCTGCTCCCTGTCCCGGAAGGCTGGTGCAGGTGTGTGTTTGCAGCCATGCTGAGCTGTGTGGTCTGGAGATTATTTCATCTCTCCGATTAAAGGAGAGACAAACTACCCTAGAAGGAACTAAGACCATCCTTTCCTGAAAAGGAGGTTTAATTGTGTAATGGACTAATTTGGGTATAATGGCAAATTTCAGTTCAAAATACTGTTGATGTGGCACAGGAGCAAAAGTGTGGCTGATGGGAGAATACCTCAGGGACCTGTGCTTCCTTCAGGACCTGCTCTCCCTTGAGGACCACCTTGCCACAACGCCCTGGCCCTGGTCTGGAAAAGGCCTATTGTAACAGAAGAATAGCTGGGTTTTTTTGTGGACCAGAGTAACTTTGGTGCCTTGGAGTCTGTCAGTTAGTGTAAATGTACACGGTCATCATATTGCTAGATTTTTAGGGTTTGATTCATGGACATTTTAGCTCAGGTCACTAAAGGGTCTCCTCTCAGAAAAGGAGAGGTGCGGTGGATCATTTTTTCAAATGAAATAAATCGGTGCCCAGCTTTGTAGGCCTGTCTGCATCAGACATGGGGAGCTGAAGGGGCCAGTGAGCTGGAAAAAGCCTGGCTCAGACTGGCCTGCTAGCACTCATATGGCTTGCTGCGGTGATCTGGTTGCTCTGGCAGAACTGTGCTGTGGACAACCAGGGGGTTTCTTGTTCCTCAGGTGAGTGTTACTATTCAAGTACGAAGTACAGCATTGCTGGTTGAGCTGCAGTCAAACTTGAGGCACCTGCTAGTATACTAACAGATGAAATATAAAGACATGCATATAGGTGTCACTTGAGTATTAAAAGGCAAAGCTGCCTTGTTGATTATGCCTGTGACTCAAAGCTTGTTGATCAGCAAAGAATGCTTTTATACCTACTTTAAGACCCTTAAACAATGAACGTTTTATTGTGGCTTTCCCATGCGCAGTTTTTTCTAAATCTGGGTTTGTCCATATGGGTTATGGACATGTAATAAACTTCTGCTGCTTAAAATGATAGTCCTGCTCTGCCACAGTACAGCAAAATAACTCTTTGTGCTGGTTAAAACAGTAAAATTCTGATGATTTGAAAGGCTCAAATCAAACCATTTTCCTCCCTGAGTATTTAATATTGGCAAGCCTGCACAGAAGAGGGCACGCAGACTATTTTCTATACATTTGTGTAGATCCTTCAGATAAATAATGGTAATTTAAAAGAAATTCTGAAGGGTAGTTAGAACTCAGCACAGTTCATAGCTGACTGTTGCTACAGAAAATGATTGGTTTTATTCCAGCTCTATGGGAACTTCCACTGCACAATTCCTTCTTGGGATATGTGAGAATGTTTATTGGAACAGTACTGCAGATTATATTTGTCTGAAGGATGGCTTTTTAAGTTTTGCACTAAAGGTCATGCGCTCTCCCTGGAAGCACCTGTTTTAATGACTTGTTTTGCTGGGAAGGTAAACTAATTCATAATTGCTGGAAAATTTGTGAGAGTTAATTTGTGTGAGCTACTAGTTAATTTTACAAAAGGAAGGTTGCCAGCTTTTAAAAGTGTTGTGCACCTACTCTGAGAACTGAATGTTACTGATGTCTTTAGTGGAAGAAAGGGATAAGATTAAATACGCTGCATATATGTTAATTCTAGCTGGCAAAATTCCTTAATATCTCAATTTTGAATAAACTGAGGTTTATTTTTAATGTTATATGCCACTGAATGCTAATTTATATGATAAAGCTGAAGAGATTGCTCTGTGGAGTTGCTGTGAAATGGTTAGCCTCAAACTGCATTCACTTGTTGTGATTCAGTGCTTTATAGAGTATACTAGTTTAGTTTTCTAATAGCAAGAATAAGTGGAAAAATACAGTTCAGCAGTTTGATTAACTGTAATATGGTTGAAAAATTGGTCATTTGGGTTGGGTGATTCCCAGAAGCCAGGTAGTCAGTACATGTAGTCTCATTTAAATAGTGAGGGCAGCAAAGTTTTATTTTTACGATAGGTTGATACATTCCACGTTTCATGCCACAGTGAATTTGTAGCAACTTTGTTGTATGTTGGGTTTACAGATGACCAGTTCTGTACTGTATTTAATTCAATGAAAATGTCAGTTCCTTTTAGAAGGAATAACTTCTCAGCAGGACTAGTTAGTTTCCTTGACTGCTTTTTATGTTCATTGTACTGTTTTGTGTGATTGTTTTACCTTAATTTGAGTAAGCTAACCTTGTACTTTAAAATGCTACTTTGATGTTGTGTGTAATAGCCTTCAAGGGCCAGCTGAAATGTTTCCTCATTCCTGAAGGCAAGCATAAGTTTCTTTCTTTTTACTGTCTTGCTCATCTCTGGGTTTGTCTGTATGGTGTTCAGTTTCACGATATAAAGCGCCATTTTTCACCCACATAGCTTTTTCACCCACATGCCATGTTCATTGACAGCAGAGGAAGAAAGAACATGGCAAGGGAGTTCTAATATAGAAAGGAAGTGGGGAGGGAAAGAATCACAGTGGTTACACAGTTAAAAACACTTATGGGAGGGTGGTCCAGTATTAACTTGTACTACCCTAAAGCAGGATCATGTAGAGCTCTTTGCCTTTAGTTTTGAAAATCTTCCAATTCAGACTATGAAAGATAAGTACAAACAAGCAGTTTCATGTGCCTAATTCATGTGTTTTAGCAGTTCTTCATATGACTTGATCTGGCTCAGAGTTTACATTCACTCTTGAAAACTGGAGATTTTACATGATTATAATTGTTTATGGTGGGGTGTTGCAAGCCTTCTTAAAAGCACTACTGAAAAGGCATTTGTTACATGTTTTAAGATAAAGGTTTTATTTTGTTCTGGCTAAGATTTTACGTGATTATAAATGTTTATGGTGGGGTGTTGCAAGCCTTAAAAGCACTACTGAAAAGGCATTTGTTACATGTTTTAAGATAAAGGTTTTATTTTGTTCTGGCTATGAATTTTTTTGTATGTATTTTCTCCCAACAGGGCAAAATCTCTGATCAAGTCTACAACTATCCAGAGGGCTTAGGAGAAGTGCTTTATAGAGAACAGTTCGACTTCAACGCTGAGCCACCTTGGGAACCTAGCTGATGATAGTAGGGTTCCATCTCCTAACTTGTCCATGTAAGTCTCTTCCTTCTGTTTTCATCTGTATGCAGGAGGATAAGCACATCCAAAAATACAAACAGCATGTATTGGCTTTTTGATAAGCAAGGTAACTGTCTTAATGTAAATTACCAAAATTGAAAATAGTGGTGTGCATGTTATATGGGGCTTTCATTCAAGGGGGGACTAATTTTTACTCACCTAATACTTTTCTCAACAGAGTTACCTGATGAATTTCTGAGACTTAAGCATGTGTGAGTAAACTTTGTAAATAGAGTTACTTTTCTGAATTAGGGCTGTTTGCTGTGGAAATCCTAAAAGAAAATGCTGTAACTTCAGTCTCTCAGTGGTAATTCTGAAGTCATGAATTGGCACTGCATGACTGCTAACATCAAATCATGTAGTTTGCTGAACACTGATTTCTTAGGGTATGTTATACTGAAATAGTTAAAATTTGCTATTGTAAACGGTAACTGATGCTGATCATGAAGGGTGTGTCTTCCCAAATGCCTGTCTCCATTATTTGCTAATTACTGTCCACTTCCACAAATAGTTGTAGTTGAGCTACAGTAGCATGTGGAATTCTGTATTGGATGGAAATCATGTACCAATTATAAATGCCTTTACATTTTTAAGAGGCAAATAGTTATTAAAGAAAAACAAGACCCATGATAACTGAAAACAAATGAATGCACGTAGCTGATCTTAAGGAGCACAGAGAACTCTGGAATGTGTGTGGTTATCCTGTTCTGTTAGCATAAACAATAGCTTTATGTGGTTTTAACAACAGCCTTAAATGCATTTGTAATATCTGAGTTAAGCTGATTTTATACAGTATTACTTTTTTCCTGTCTAGCTTGAAGGCATTTTCATTTGGCTTAGTACCTATAAATTATATAATGCTTTTTAATGTAAAACTTGAGAAAGAGAATGGTTAAAGTGCATCTGAGCCAGGTACTTTCTAAAAACCACAAAGAGTCCAAATGCTGATTGTGTTAGTATGTCTCCTAATAAGATACTTGATGTAGATGACCCTGATCTTTGAAAATACTGCAGTAAGGGAGGCACAGGATGAGCTTAGTTTATCATAATTTCTGACTTTCTCTCCAGAGGTTACGTTCTTTGTTTTGTTTGAAACTTACTGAATTAGCTGCATATATCTGGTTCTGCGTAGATGACTGCTGTATTCAAGTGAATACAGTTAATGCTGAAAATTCTCTGAATATCACTGTTTTGTAGGTGTTGCATGATTTTTATAAGCGAAAGATCCGAGAAAACAGTTTCTCTTGTTCAGTTTCTGAGTTTCAGCTCACTCTTGTATGTGGGTAGAACTCTTGCATGACACTTTGCACTTCAACATTTTGCACTTCAACAGGAATAAAGTAAAGTAGTAAAAAGATAAGAAAGGCAGAAGAATTGTTAGGAAGGAGTGAATAAAGTATAGAATTAAAATGCATTTTAATTTCTAAAACTGTTCTGAAGGAGTTTTGTCTTTGACTCAAGTTTTTCTCTTTGAGGAGAAGGCTGTTCTAGCACCTTCATTGAGATTATTGTTTCTCTAAGTGGTAGACTTGTGTGCTGTGGCAAATAGTCCAAGGTATAGCTTGTCCTAGAATGGAAATGCCACTGGATTTGCTGTATTCATAGCTGAATGTTCAGATGATCTGTGTGTTTATTTTGAGCTTAGATCTATTATGTGTTCAGTAGTAATATACTGTACATAAATATAAGTAGTTCTGTATTGAATGTAGTGGTGACATAGGTAGCAGTAGTCTACAAGTGCTTGCCAGTAAATCTGTAGCTGTGTTGGTGTGCTGAAGCGCAGGTAATTGCCTCAAATATAGCTAAGATGTGAGTTAGCCAGCTAATTGGTAGTTTGAGTCCTGTTCAGCTTGCAAAGTGATGTAATGGGAAAAAGGTCAATTGAGCTTTTAACTGTCGTTATTAATATTATGATCCAATGGAACTCAAATAAAAATGTTCTGTCTGAAGGTGTACTTGCATTCCCATTAAACTCACTTCCTTTTTATAATTCTCTCCCTCCCACTTTTGTCCTTGTATTACACTGGCCAAGGAAGAACTTGGGATTTAGTTCTATCTTGCTCTTCAAGCACTGACTTTCTGAGCCATCTGGCAACTGTGGCTTGAAATCTTGCTCCTTTTAAAATTTTTTCTATTTATTGCCACATTTGGTTGATTGGAAGTGGAGGGAATTGGTGATGGAAATCTGATCTGTTAATGAGCCCTGCCTATGCCGAGTGGAAGCAGTAGTTGTCTGGACTGGCTAGCCTTTAAAGCTCTCTTGACTTTGTCTAAATGGGACTGGATGGCAATTGGGGAACAGCGGGGCTGGGAGTTTGGAAGGTTGGGGGCCAATGGGGAGGCCAAATACTAATACTGACTAAGCAAATAAGAGGATAGGCTCACAGACTGGTGGGGGTTGGAAGGGACCTCTGGAGATCATCTCATCCAACCCCCCTGCCAAAGCAGGGTCACCTACAGCAAGTTGCACAGGAATGAGTCCAGGCGAATTTTCCAGAGAAGGAGACCCCCCGGCCTCTCTGGGCAGCCTGTTCCAGTGCTCTGCTGCCCTCAAAATAAGAAGTTCTTCCTCATATTCAGATGAAGCTTCCTGAGTTTCAGTTTGTGCCCATTGCCCCTTAACCTGTCTCTGGGCACCACTGAAAAGAGTCTGGCCCCATCCTCTTGACACCTGCCCTTAAGGTATTTATAAGCGTTGATAAGATCCTCTCTCAGTCTTCTCTTCTGCAGGCTGAACAGACCCAGTTCCCTCAGCCTTTTCTCATAAGGGAGATGCTCCAGGCCCCTCATCATCCTCGTTGCCCTCCGCTGGTCTCTCTCCAGTAGTTCCTTGTCTGTCTTGAACTGGGGAGCCCAGAAGAGGACACAGCACTCCAGATGTGGCCTCACCAGAGCAAAGCAGAGTGGGAGGATAACTTCCACTGACCTGCTGGCCACACTCTTCCTCATGCATCCCAAGATACCATTGGCTGCCTTGGCTGTGAGGGCACATTGCTGGCTTGTGGTTAACTTGTCCAGTAGGATATAGGATAGGGAAGTAACACTTGCACTGTCATGAAAGAGAAGTGCTGGTATGGTAGCATGGAAGTATGCTTGCGCTTACAAGAGCACTTGTTCTTGTAAGCTTTGCTAGCTTATTGGCTTTCAATGATGTATTCAAACTTTAAGAAGAGGTTCTTGAAAGTATAGTTCCTGTAGAAAATGTTGGATGGGGCATTATTTCTTAGTCTCTATCCCCTTTGCTAGCTTACTTCAGCAGAGATGCTCTTGTTAAGTTGCTCATGTAACTGGAATACTGAATGTGGAATACAGAGAGAATGGTAGGATGCAACTAACCTAAGCTGCACGGGTACTCTGTTAGGACCCTCTGTGGATTTCTACTGAGAGGCAACTTGGGTGACGCAAAATGTCCACTGCTGTTGTAAATAAAGACACCTGCTTCAGCATTCCTATCAGCTGGTTAGTGGCTGCATTCAGCTAACAATGATAAGGATGTAAGCTGGTGAAATGGCATCTTGGAATTTTTTAAAAGATACTCTCATTATAAATAGGCATTTCCTGCACTGAAAACAGAGGACTGGTGTTTCTACTTTTCTAGTGTACCTGTTCTGTATTTAATTGCCAATGTTAGTGACAAAATGCTTCTACTTTTTTGTTTTATTATCCCTGCAGAATCAGTATTGTAAGGAATGTGAAATGAATGTGTTTTACCTCTATGATTTTTGCATCAGTGTAATTGTTAATCTCATAGGTATTTCTTTTGCTTAGTAAGACATGTAGTTGAAAGGCATTATTGGGAGCCTGTTTGGTTTGCAGGGACTTTGTTCTTTGCGGAGGAAGCTTTTAATGAAAGCAGCAAACCTCAAGTTTTTTTTCAGGCCAAACAATACATAGTTCTGACAATGTAAAGAAAAAAAACCTGAAAATTATGTGTTTGTTATGGATGTTTGCATATGACAAGCATGTATTTAGTTAGTCACTTTGAGTGCTTTCTTCTATTCCAGATGTTTGCATTAATTACTGTGTTTAAATATGTAAACTTTTATCTTCAAGTTCTTCATCTGGGAAGTCTTTGTGTTAAACCCTAAAGAGCCTGAGGATGTAAGGCTTACTTCAAAGAAAGCAATTGCGTGCCTCTGTAGAAGTCTCCTACCACTTGGCAGCTTTTGTCTGCCCTAAAATATATGTCCTGGAGGATTGCACAGACTAACATTTCAGGTGGTAAAATGGGTGGTGTTACCACACTAAGTCTGTCAAATGATGACTTGCAGCAATTCAGCACTTCCAGCAAGGACTGAACTCTGTACTGTAATGATTTCTGACTCATCTTACAGCCATAGAAAAGACTGAAACCATCCTCTCAATTGCCTTCTGTGTGTGTTCATTTGATCTTTCATGAATTTTATCATTGATTCTTCTCCCCACTGAGGACGGGGGCCAGTCAAAACGGAGTAAGGTTATAGCACAATCCCAAATCCTACTGCAGGTTTTAACCCCTTAAAGAAACATTTCTCAAGTATGCGCTGTTTTTGTGGTGGTGCTGTAGCAGTGCTGGTAAGAATTTCAGTTTTATCTTTGTAGAATATTCTTCCTATCTTCTTTTCAGCAAGACTGAAAAGACGTAATTTCTTCCAGAGCAGGAGAAATTGGAGAGGAATGGGCTGTGACTCTGAGGACAGAAGCTGATATGCTAACGTTAGCTTTTTTTACTAGATGAATTTTACTAAATGAAAAAGCTTAAATGTCACAGACATGCTTAGAAAAAGCAATTGCTGTTCAGCAGCCTGGGAGAAGTTGTACTAGCTTGTTTATGGTTTGTTGCAAGCTGTTTTAAGTCTGTACTAGCATGGATTCCTTTTTGTCCCTGCCTCTTGACCATAAGATGCTTTTGAATGAATGAACTACAAGAGACAACCTCTGGTTTAGGAAATGACCTTACCAGAAAAGTGTTCTTGTTGTTTTTGGGGAGTTAGTGGTAAAGAGGCCTCCTCCCCCCAGCTTTACTGAAAGCAATTCTGCCCCTCTTCCCCACAGTATCTCCCCAAAAGTAAAAGGGCACCTTTTGGAGGAGAGTATTCTTCTACACCATTACTGTCTGAAAGGTATAGACACTACAGTCATTAACTTTCTTTTAAGAGTGCTACAAAATTAGCTTAAATCTACTCCATTGTAACTCAGATGAACACCGAGACTCAAAGAAAAAAAGCTAGCTGTTGTTTATATTGAGCTTCTTCATTTGAAATATGGGGCACAAGCAGTTAGCCTGCAGGGTGTGTGTGTCTCAGTCTAAAAAAAAAAAAAAAAATCTCTTCAGTGCTGTGACTGGTTCCACTGGGTGCACTGAGACCTCCCAGCAGGGCAGGTCAGGGATGTGCCTTCCTTCAGTGAAAGGGACTCTGACCATCTGCATGCTTTAAGAGTGTAGGAAGTGGCTTGTATGGAAAAAAAAAAAACCAAACACACAAAAAAACCAGAAACCAAACCCACACAAAAAAACCCAAACGACAAACCCAGCACCAAAACTTTACAATCTAGCTAAGTAGTACCCTTGCATATACAGTAAATCCTTAAAGTGCTTTGTCTTCAGGGTTTTTAACAGGTTTGTACAATGTGTCAGGGAATTGTGAGCTTATGATCAGAAACACAGAATTTGTACAATTTGAATTAACAATAAAAAGAAGCTCAGCTATGAGGCTGCTGCCAGCCCAGTCACTTCTCACGTGTTCAGTTGCAGGTACTTACAGTATTTACTGGTCAGATGTGAGTCGGGAGGGGGAAAGAGGAACTGGGATCGTGGAGGCTCATCCTGTACAGTGTTACTGTGTCAAAATGTTGCCACTGAGTTTTGTTGAACTTTTTATGAAGTCATAGGACAGATTAGATGTGTCCCAAAAGATGTTACAGATTTAGATGCAGCACAAAATGTATTTGTAATATGAAAATTTTCCTTTAATACCCCTCTGTGTCACAAAAGGATTAAAAAAACCTTTGTGGTTTTTGAATGGTTAACAGATCTGCGAGATCTGAATAATCTGCTGAAAGTGGAAATCACTTTGCTCTTGCATGTGTTTACCATGGTTCATTTACTTACTCCTCTCTTTTGATACTACTTTTCTTGCAAGAAGACAACAAAAGAGCTATTATTGTAAATTAAGAGTTTAACGTGTTTATTACACAACCATCAAGTTCCTGAGGATGCATAAAGTACTTAAAACTTAGTTAAAAATTATGCTGTTTGGGTTGTAGTATAAAGAGATTATGCTAAAAGAATTAAACTGCTGTTAGCTTTTTTCTTTCAATCTTCATGTTTTGAGTACTCCAGAACTATATTGAATTTTCAGTAAAATACTGATGCCAGCTTTTCTTTCCAGGGAGGGGAAAAAATACCCAGCCCAAACCCTTTTTGGTACTCCACTCTTGGAAATCATGTATGTTTTATGGAGGTGAATGTGTTGAGGACTTTGTGCTAATCAGCCAGCAAATCAGGGATACTGATGAAGTGCCTGGTCAGAGTGTGACAGTAGCTATGTAAACATCACTGTGGTGTTCATGTTTGTTTCACTGATTCTAAGTCAAACTTAGTTCACAAGCTTGTCTTTGTTTGGTGCCATGTGTTTTTTAAGGAGTTTTAGCTGTTGCTCACAAACTTAAACTGAGATGTGACTGACTGAAGACATTTTCCTGGTTGTTATAGTATCTACCACCTAGTCATTGTTTTTATAATTGTAATTTACTTAAATCCTTACACCAATGTGATAATTATCTTGCTCTTTCATGATTGTTTTGGATCTTCAGGATTCATTTAAATAAGCATATGACTTACTGTACATGTGAGACAAGTATGTTCTTACTCAATATCACTTTGTAGTTCAGCTTCTGAATATAACTGAAAATTCTTGCTGCCACTGAGTTAAATTCAGCTGGCAGTAAATATTTTTCTTAAGAAATATAGGTGGCATACTTGAGTTGTGCAGAAAGCATACAAAACTGCTGGCTCTTTCCCCCTTACTTGGTGTAAGGACAAGTAGGAGCAACTGCTGCTTAATTGTTTTGGTGTTAGCTTGAGCAAAAGTAGCTTTGTTCATCTTATTAACAGTCGTAACCAACTTATGTTGCAAATTGTGGATATTTTGTTTTTTACTGTAGGGAAGTAGCCAAAATAAAATGAGACAGAGTTAATACCATAGCCTTGTGAGCATTTGAAACCAAGATTATCTTAAGCTTTTGGAGTCTTAGTGGAGCATTTTTTACCTTCGGTTATAATGTTTCTGGTTTCTATCAACACTTTTAATTAGAAAAATAATTTTGTTATTTTAAAGCTGAGTACGGGTGCCTTTAGAAAACAACCGTCAGGGGTTTTTTACAAATACTATGCAACTTCTGTTGAGATTAAAACAAGTCTTGGGTGTTCATGCAAAGAAGGAATCTAGTTAGTTGGCTGGTTTTATTAGTCATAAAGATGGCAGTTGAAACAAAGTCTGGTCAGTTGCTATAAACTAATAAACTGCTTTTAAACAAGACCTACAACTCTAATGAAGTGTAAACTACAGATTGTTGTATTCATCAAGTAAGGCTGATGAAGGTATATAACCAGCTGTTGGTAGTTTTCTGCTGTCTACTGATATTTACTTGAGTATTTAATCCATATTCTAAGACTGCGTATACTTAACAATGTCTTCTGTCTTTGGACTTTGTTGATTCAGGTTGTCTTTTGGAAAATACTGCTTATAAACAACATCTAATTTGCAGTGAAGGTCTGAGGATAAACAAGATGCAAATAAAGCTAGGCTATAACTGTTCTTTTAATACCACTTCCACTTACTAAGATTAATTGTAATTTTTAAAACTACTTCTAGCTAGTGGCTTCTTGCTGTTAACCTCTATTGAAGTGAAGATTTTTTAAGTGTTGTAGGTAACCTTATGAACAGAACCGCAAAATAAATGTCTAGTAAATGCATGTGTGAAGGCATTGGTTATAAATTAGCAACTAAATAAAACCAGAATGTTAACACAAATATGTGAATCTAACAAATATCTATGCTAACATTTAATGAATAAACTACAAGTTTTCTTTAACAAATGTAAAAATGTTGTATTACAGACAGTCTTCCAGTTGCATGCTTGAACACTAGTGTTGCTTAAGGTGCTATACTTAAGAATAGCTGAGCTGATGTGTTTGTACAAATATGCTACACTTGCAGTATTTTCACAGTTTGCATAAGCTCAACACTGGTCAGGGTGCACACAGTCTGGGGTTCTTCTCAAGAACAGCCTTGCCTCAGTGATTTCTTACTCTCATTTAGTATCAGATTTAAAGTACACAGCTTCTGTTTTATTCCTGGCATCAGCAGAATTGCTCTGTCCTTATCCCTGGCAAATGGAGGGTAAACAGAATCAAAAAATCTTTGATTTTTGTAAAGTGTGCATGTTACTGTTTGTAGTACATCAGATGTAGAAAGCTCTTTCTAATTTTACCATAGTGTCATAGTATGCTTTGTGTGTCTTTTCCCATTGACTTATGTTTTCTTTGTACAGTTTGTTGCATAATTTAAGGACCCGGATATAAGGCTTGGAAGCCCATCCCTTGTGTTTCTTGGTTTATGACTGTCGGCTTTGTGGAATACGGCTGAGATGAAAGGATTTCTTGAGGATGCAAATTACTCCATTGGTCTGTTGGATGAAGGAGCAACTCTTGCAGATGTTATTGACAACTGTATTTATGAACATACTCATGTAAGTTTTTTCTAAGTTTTCCAAATCTTCTGGCTTAGTTCTCTAAGGCTTCAAACTAGTTCAAGGTATTTAGCTCTGATGAGATGACAGCAACACAGGAACAGCCGGCTAAAACTCACCTTAGAAAGTAGTTTCCTCTTCTAACTCTACTTTGCCCTTTGCCTCAGGCTGAATTCTGTTGGAGAAATTTGGGCAACAATTGTTACCTCCCTGAGTATGGCTAGCAGGAAAGTAGTCTTGCTGATGTAATTAAATACAGGTTCCCATCTCACTGTTTCAGGAGATTTTATTATCAATGGGGTTTAGACCAGGAATGTGAAATTGGCAAGTGGATATTGCTGAGTTAGAATTTTTTTTTTCTTCTTTCCCTGAAAATATGCCAAAGTTCAGATGAATATTTATGCTGAGCCAGTTTAAAGCCCTATTTAAAACTTCTGTGATCAATCACAGTTGTATGGTTATACATTTTCCTGTTATCCTTCTCTCTGTTGGAAACACGGGCACGAGCATATTGTGAGGTGCTACCTTATTTCTTTCAAGAAAATAAACTGGTCTAAAAGCTGTTAAGGTTTAGCAATCGGCTGGAAAGAAACTTAAATAATTCTGTCCATATGATAGTTTTATTGAATAAGGCTTCACTCACTTATTAGGAGGCAGGAGGATGTTGTAGCCTTTGTTTTATAGACAACATTGTAGAAAGAGCAAGCTTTAAAAGAAAAATTGTTTCATTAAGCAAATCCTGTATCCTTAATATGCCATACTTATGAGTAGTTCACTTTTCCCTTGGTTTATCAGAACTGATGTTCAAATGCAAGTGCTCAACTATAGTACAGCAAATAGCTACATCCCATGGCCTTCTGAACTCAGGTGTAGGATTCCCAAATCCTGATTCCTAATATTCTTTTTCTGTCTAGCAAATAAATAGGTAAACTACTGGCAACATGTCATGTCTCCAACCACTGGCTGGCTCACAGAGGATAGCTGCCTCCTGCTGCTTTCATTTACTCCTTTAGCTCAAGGGGTAGAGGCCTGTGCCATGGATCTAAAGCTCCAGATCCCAAAACCCGTACAGGGGGTCAGTATGCTTCCACCCGATGGAATTTCTATTTGTGTTTTTTAAACAGAAATAAAGACATTGTATACAATAAGCCACAACATAGTTTCATATCTGCAAAAGTCAAATGCTAGAATTAACATTTGATGTACAGTCTTAATTCAGATCGATCATATTTTGTGATGGTCTTTAATTGATATACAGTAGGCCATTCATTTACAGGAATTTTACTGAGTGCACATTATAAACAAATATAGAACGATCTGTTTGGATTTTGATCACTACATCTACATCATGACTTGATATTGAGAGACTCTGGTAACAGATGCACAAGGGGGACTGTTAACAGTTTCCAGAAAAGTGTGCATTTTCTTAAAGATTTAGGTACTTGACTCTGCAACCTTAACACACTGAGTTTAGTTCTTAAAATTCTGTTTAAACTTTGTGCTTCACAAGATGTGGAGAACAGTCTCAAACTTGACTTCCTGAATTAAAATACTATTAGACAAATTTTCAGTAAAATGAGGTATTAGCTAGATGTTAAAATAATGGTAGTGCATTGGATTTTTATTCCTTGTATAATAAGCTATAAATTAATGTTGAGACTGTAGAAGCTTTCGTCCCAGTGGATTTTCTTCCTCCAAAAAGTTGCAGACTTCTGAAAATACAAAGTTGGCAGAGATTTGTAACCTATTCTATATTTTTAGATAAAATCAGCGTTTGGCATTTAAGTAGTATCTTTTGTTTAGGAATCTCACAATATTGTGTAAATAACATTCATAATATCTCTGAAGTGGTAGGTATTCCCTTTTTTTAAACTAGTTCAAATTGCTAGGTGAAAGTAAAAATGAGCATTGTTGAAGGTCATACCTAAAGGTTAATAGCAGGGTGAAAAAAATGTACATAATTCTTTAAGACTATTTCATAAGTTTATGTTTTGACAGGAAACCCACAATTTCAGAGATTTTATTTTCATCTTCTTCCTTTTTTTAGACTGGAAAAAGAGCATTTTATGTCGGTGATCTTGGAAAGCTTGTAAAGAAGAACATACAATGGCAGAACGTGATGGCACCAATAAAACCATTTTATCCTGTAAGATGCAATTCTGCTCCAGGTGTACTTGAAATTCTGGGAACCCTTGGTGTTGGATTTGCATGTTCCAGTAAAGTAAGTTTTTCTTCTCTGTATCTGTGCACCTTATTTTCTTCCCTGTCTGCTGTTTTAAAATCAGCTTTTTGGTATTGGTTATAAATAATATAAATTAAATTGTGAACCCTTGTGTAACTGGCTGTTGAAAATCTATACTACACTAGAAGCGGTGGATAGTTTTCTCTTTAGTGTGTTTGACTATTTAGCACAGCACTAGAGCACATCTACTAAAAATTCAGTAAAGATAGTGCACTGAACTGTGGCAAACTCTGGTGTGCTCCTGTTTTTCAGTCTGAAATGGCATTGGTACAAGACCTGGGCATTTCTCCTGAAAATATTATATATACAAATCCTTGCAAGCAAGCTTCTCAGATAAAGTACGCAGCGAAAGCTGGGATAAACATCATGACTTGTGACAATGATACTGAGCTGAAGAAAGTTGCACGTAACCATCCAAATGCTAAGTAAGTGTCAGAATTCTGGCTTTACTTTTAATGTGGGGGAAACTTAATTTTGCCTGTATTCTGGGTGGTTCGAGTTGCAAGCAAAATACACGGCTTCTTTAATGCAATTCACTTGTATCTCTTTGTCTCATTCGAAGGTAGCTTTTTTGCAACTTTTTCCCTACTGAGTCTCAGCTTCCTAATATGATAGTAAGGCCCTTGTTTTGGGAGAAATCCTGCATTTTGATTTTGTAGGGCAATCTTCGCATAAAGGTTTCAGTGATTAAAGTTCAGAAGTCTGGCACCTCATCTGCAAGTGCATCTTCTTCCTGCTCTGTTGTGGCTTCAGTGTTTTCTTTCAGGGTACTGTTTGGGTATTAGTGGCTTCAGCTGAAGTCAGAGCTGAGACTATCAGCAAATGCGCAGGTGCATTGGGTCCTGTCTAGACTCTGGGCATGCTCTGCAGGTCATTAAATACACCTACAGGTAGTTCCCCACTGTTAAAACAGTGAGAAATTTGACTTCAGTTCTATTTTGAGTTGCTTCAGTATTGGCCCAGCAGCTTTCTGTAGAGGAATGATCAACACTGATGTTCTGGTTGTTAAATATGAGCATTTTATTGCTGCCAATGTATCATAGTTTCTTTTGGACTGATAGCGCTCGTATCATTAAGCATCATGTCCCTCACATATGAATACTTTGGCTGTGGGCCATACCTTTAAGAAATTTGGAGTCAGAGCCTAAGTAAATGTTACAGTGCTTTCCAGTGATTAATGAGGTATAGCTTCCCACAAATGTCATCAGAGCGCACTAAGAAACTGAATTCCTGACATCCTTTACAAAGCTCTTGGTTGTAGACAGTCCTTATTAGAGTCATGTCTTCTCCCAAAACTGTGGCCATAGTTGTAGAATTGGGAAGACTCTACCACGTTCAGTATCTGCAGGCTCTGCTCATCCCACCTAGTTAGTCTTTTTTTTTTTTACTACCTGGAGAGTTAATGTTGCTTTTGCTAGTGATTACACTTCATCCTTGTGGAAGCCTGCCAGTGCTTTGCATACTGGAGAGTACTTCCTGTGCAAAGAATGTTACGTATGATAAATAATTTTGTGTGTAAAATGCTGGCCTTGACACTGTGACATAGTCCATGCATTTGAAAGCCTTAGTAATACTAAAGCTGTCTCTTACGTCATTAATGTTTTACCAGTTATCACTGGTGGTTTTAATTTTGTTAGTTTTTGATTTAATTCCTTGAGTCTAACCCCCTCTTTTAGAAGATGCTGTCTATTGTAACATCTACAGCAAGAGAAGTTAAGATGCAGATTTTTCTTGAGCCAGAGAAATGGTAAAATATAGGGAGACAGAACAAAGGAGTTTCATGAACTAAACAGCATAAACTCTGTACTTCTTTTCAAGGATCCTATAGTCTAATATTTGAAAAAGTTCCTGTTTACCAAGGACAAGAAACTCAATTTCTACAAAAGAACTGCAATTTGCCATCTAAATTTTCTAGAAACCCGATCTCCAGCTCTCTACTAGGTAGAGATTTGTTTGGTTATTTTATTAGAATTCTCTTATTCAGATTATTAAAACTTTGGTGCTGAAGTGACAACTATGAGTTTTCTTCTTTCTCTTCCTTGGCATAGTTTCAAAAAGTCAAAGCTTTTATATAGGCTTGTTCTTTCTATGTGTGGTTCTTACAGCTAGGTTGTCTTTTTGTAGATGAAGCTAATTACGCTTTGGCTGAGGAAATCCTTAGAAAGCTGTAATTCTCTCTTTCTGAGAATTCTTGTAACTTTTTGCACTGAACTTAGTAATGGGTGGGTCTCCTTTTATAACTGATGTTTCTGCTTTTGGAAGTCTTAGTAACTTGAATGATAGCAATTTTTTTTTTAAGAAAGAGGAGAAATGTCAAAGGAGTGCTTAAGTCTTTCACTTCTTTATACCTTTGGATTTTTCCAGGCAAAGTTTAACTGCTAAGGTTTGTGGTGTCCTAAGAGCTCCAGTAGAAGCATGGTTGCTATAAGTATCAATGTTTCCTTTAAAAATAAACAAAAAACCCACACCCCAATCACACATGTCATCCTTTAGCCCTGCTCTTAACTGGCTGAAACCCAGGAAGAAGAATCCTACTAGATCTCTAGAAATCAGAATTACGCTTTTTCAGTAGTTTGTACTAGAAAAATATCTTGACTTTCTTATAATGCTGCTATAACAATTCATCAGTAAAATTTAACACTGGATATCTTCAAGAAATGGTTTTGTCTAATCTTAATGTGAGGTTACAAACGATAGTATTATGGATCTGAAATTTTTTTACATTTTAAGGAGTTGTAACTTTTGACAATTTTTTGTTATCTAGCACTTTTTTTCAAATGCTTTACAAAATATTGTTTGCAGATTTCTTGAACAGAACTGTTAGTGGAGAAGCAGGAAATGAGGCTAGTCAGAGTTTCTCAATATGCAGTGCTATAAATTTACAATTAACAAGAATTGCTGGGCAACCTGTATGAGAACTTGAAGATTTTTTTGCTCTTTACAAAATGCATTTTAAACACATCATGAAACACTTGGAAAGGGCTTTTAGAAGTAAAGGTAGCTGTTAGGCCAACATGTATTTTGTAGTGGCAAGGTTAAGTTTTGCTTGTTCCATGTCTTGTAAAGAACTATTTCATTTTGGGTGCAGAGCTTCTACTGGTTGTTTAAGTACCTTATCTTGGTTAACTGTAACATGCTCTATGCAAGCTGCGTGTATGTCATGATACAGCTTCCACAGCCAGTTTGCCACATGGCGAATTAATTGATCTTTATTGTGGTTGGGGGCCGGGAGTGACTTTCTTAGTGGACAGCAGTTTGAATTTGTGAGTTTTAGGGGTATACCTCCAAAGGTTTTGATGCGAACATGCCTTTGCCACTCAAGTGTGAATTTTAATGTAGAAAACTGCCAACGCTGGCACTGCAGTTTGCCAAACCTACCCAGAATGAGGCTTTGACCAGCAGAAGGAAACTGTCTTACTGTGTAAGACTGTAAGAGGCAGTACTGATTGCCTCCCTGCTCCGCAAGTGTTCTGGAAAGAAGGGGCAAGGAATGGATGGACACCCCCAGTCCATGTCCTTGGCCAGGAGGGGAGGTGGAGGGATGTGGCCTAAGTATGCTTTCAGTGTGTCAGCCTGGTGTTCTCTAGATGGTGAGTTTAACCAAATCTGATACGTTACTGACAAGGGGAATCCCTATGCTCTCCTCTTGGCTGGAAAGGGGGACAGAGATGGCAAAAGCATGTTACAGTCTTAATAGTTTTATAAGGAAGTAGACTTTATTAGAAGGTAACATTCTCTTTTATTACAGCACTCAACAGACTCTTGCTGCTGCAAAAGAGTCTTAGTTGCTGCATTTCGAAATCCCTTGTCCTTGTTGGCTCCATGTTTTAGCCCCTAATTGCTAGTTTTTTCTCTGTACAGGATTGTTTTTATTAGGTTCACTTGACTCATCCATCGATGGAGCTGGAGTACTGACAACATAATCAACACACTTCTGACAGTCTTCAGGCTTCACATGTGCTGATGATGTAAACCAACTGCCCAAATCATCTTCCCCTTCTCTTAGGCTCTTACTGCACATTGCCACAGAAGACATTTCTGCTGATGAAGAGATGAATATGAAGTTTGGCACCACCCTGAAGAACTGTAGGCACCTCATGGAATGTGCTAAGGAGTTGGGAGTCCAAATAGTTGGTGTCAAGTGAGTAACTTTATTGTTCTCTGCTGACTGAGCAGATACTTATATGGTGTACTCAAGAGGTAGAATACAAAATAATTTTTTTCCGCCTTTGGTACTATTGTAAAGGTTTGTTTCTTCTTTAAAAAAAAACAAACAACTTTTGGATCATGAGTTTTTGCTTGCAAGCGAAGTGCTAATATACAAGGAAAAACTAATATGAAACAAAGTTAACTAATGCAGACATCAAAGGAATTTGAAATAGAGTATCAGAAATCCTTCTGTCAGCATAAAACCAAAGTTTAGAAGCCTCTCATTTTCTAACTGTACTCTTGAACTTCTGTGGTAACTGATTTGCATTTTTCCAGCAATAAACAGCATAACGGATAAGTGCTAATATAGCATGGAATAGCTTGGACAGACTTGGAACAAGATGAACATGGGGCTGGATTTTTCTAAGAGTTAGGTCCTATGTCACTCTTTGATCATACCAAAACAAAATACTCAGATATATTTTTTGACTTGCAGATGGCAGGAATGAATCCTATTGCTCTGAGAGCTTCCAAGTGATCTGTGGTATTTTAATTTGAAGTTTGACAAATATTTTACTATGTGGAAGAAAAATGCATGCACAAGCCTTCTGTCTACCTTCAGCTACTAATGTATCGCATGCTCATGAATGTTTTAAAGCAACCAAACAAGTGAAAGAGGGTGGGACATCAGGACAGTAAAAAAGTATTTAAAATGGAAGCCAGATTTTGAAGGATCTAAACAGCAGTTGTTTTGATGTAAATATGTTTGAAATTGATGTTAAAGCATAAACATATTATAATCATTACAAATTACAGATGTATTTAAAAATTAGATGATACTACTAAGCAAATGTATGTCTTGTATAATGTCTAAACTAACTTTAACAAAAATCACATGACTTTTGTGCATTTTCTTTATTAAAAAAAAATTTTGAAATCCACATGTGGATTCATGCAAGTAAGTTTAAAAAGTGAGCTTTGCCTCAAAGTGGCATTCCTTAAAGGAGTAGAGTGTCATGGCTCCAATGGGGGGGTGTGTGGTCTGTCCAGAACCAGCAGACCATACTAGTCTTTAGGAAGCCCATGGGAATATTGGCAGTTGTTTTAGCACCTCAGTTACTACCGGTATGATGGCAGTACTTAAACCTGTTGGACAAGGAACCAGAGGGGATTCAGGAGCTTGTGGGGAGGCACCGGTACTTCTCTGCTTATGATGACTTCGTCACCAGCCTGTTTGGCCTTGCTGTGAAACTAGGACCTGGCCTGGGGCAAAAAGGCTTTGGAACAGGGTGGCAGTGGGACACACCTCTCCTTGCTCTCTCCCAAATGTTGGAGAGAGTAGAGAGTGTGCATGGTACAGCCCTAGCTTTGAGAAGAAAACTGGATGGCCCAGGAGAGAAGGGTATACAGGCAAGGCAACAGAAAGTAGGTTAAGAGAGGGGAGACAGTATATGGGTACTGTGTTTGCATTGGCAACTACTGAAGAACACATTTCAACCACTTTGATAGTGAAGACTGAAAGGTTAAGTAAATCTGTTACTCCTTAAAGATGAGAATACTGTAGGACACTCTTTGCATTAAGAGCAAGACAGGCCTCAAGTACAAATCGAATGGAATAGAAGGCAATCATCTTCTGAGCTTATTCTTTGCACAGTTACGGTATTATCATGCAAGCTTGTCTTGAGCTGCTTAGGAATGAATTGCTCCCATTGCTGTTTTAGGTGGTGAAACAGTTTGCTTGGTCTGAAAGCTGCATGGTTCAGTGTATTAACTGTGTTTTTATTTCTTTCAGATTTCATGTTTCAGGCTCTTGCAAGGAGCTGCAAATGTACATTCATGCTATATCTGATGCTCGGTGTGTGTTTGACATGGCTGTAAGTAAGAATATACAAATGTGAATTGCTACAGTAGAGGATCCATTCTATCCTAATTATACTAACAAGCCAACTACATTATTTCCAACATATATCAGTGTAGGAAACGGAACTTTTAGTAAGGGACTAAATACTCCATTGTAAGGCATGTGGTAGAGGTAAAAACCTTCATAATACTAATTGTGGACAAAGGTTAATCAATACTGTCCTACTGACAGGCAGTAGCCTTGTATGCTGTTTTCAAATAAAAAAAATAGTTTCCCACTTCTGATAAAGGCTTTTTGAAATTCAAATCTCAGTCCTGCAAATACACAGTTGACATTTTTAAGTTATATTAAAGTATTAAGCACTTTTACACTGGGATTTATCATGATACAACCACTAATTTGGTGGAGATTAATAACTAAGCATCAGAAGAAATAAAGGTGTCATTGCAGGGGGGGCAGCAACGCAAATTTGGATGAAGAGGAATGTATTTGTTGGATGCTTCAGATGACTTTTGTGAGCCTTACATGTTCTGCGTGTATTTCTCATTGCAAAATTCAAAAATCGCTTCTCTGAACATCCGTCTTCCTGTAAATGTGAAGCTCCTAAACTAAATAGAGAAGACTGCAAGTCTTTTTACTGTCATTACTGCAGTTAGTGCATTAGCTGTGGCTGGTAACACATGGAGGACAACAGAACTGAAGTTCTTACTGATCTTTGTGCAAACTCATGTAGTAGTCTTGTCATGTAAGCACTATCCAAAAGACTTGCATTATACATATTTGTAAATTCCTAAAACTCTGTCAGAATGCACCACCCTGTTCGGCAAACATTGTCTGAATATAACAAACGTCACAAGATGGGAGTTGACATTGCTGTGTTGCTTCTACTTGATAATTGTGTAACCAGCCTCCATTGGCATCCTAAAGCCATTACTGCTAGCTCCATTAAACCTATACTAACTTTTCCGATGCCGTTACTCCCTCACTAGACATACTCTGCTAAACATGCTCAAAGTATAAGTACATAGAAAACAACCACAGTAAGGAGCAACAAAAAATATTTTTACTGTTACAGTTGTCCGTGTACTTACATTCTGCCTATGCATTTTAGGAAGAATTTGGCTTTAAGATGAACATGTTGGATATTGGTGGGGGCTTCACAGGTTCAGAACTTCAGCTGGAAGAGGTACGCAATGTATTGGAAGTTGAAACTCTAATTTTTTAGGAAGCTGAAGTGTTTAACCTTCAAACTGCTGCTAATATTGGTAGCTGAAACCTAATGTAAATTCCATTTTATACTGTAATTCATAAGATCCAAACAGTTGGTTTTATATTCTTTATCATGGGTAGTGTAATCAGTCCTTGGAGGCGTAATTTTTTTAAATCCTGTTCATACTGGGTGAATGCTGACTTAAGCATGTCGCAGATTAAATTACTATCCTACGCCACCGTAACAGTAGTAATTCAGGTTTTTTTGCAGTTGACTGTTGTCCAACTGGTTATGCTATTGCATGGTTTGGGCCAGGATTGCTTAGCACACTTTGGATCATAAACTATATTGCTACTGTATTGAAAGTTTCTGGTACTTTGCTTTAGAACTGAAGATGAAAGGTTTTGCTTTTATATTTGCTTTGCCTAGCCTTTGATTTGCCCTAATTGGGACCTTTAGTATGCAGTGGCACATAAAACAGAATAACCTGTTTAAGTTTGTCTTAAAGACAAACTCCTTGAATGTAGGACAGTGAAAGTGATTCAGTGAGAAGTTACTAACAGCAATAGGAGCTCTTCTTTGTAACTGTTCTGTTACTTGTCCAAAATACTTGTTAATCTTCAAATGTCTGGCTTAAGATTTCAGCATCAGTATTAAATAATTCATTCCACTTCTGATACTACAGTATTCAGAACTGATCACAAAAAGCCCCTTTCCTTGTTCTTCTGGATTCATATGTAACTTTACATTATCTGTTGTGCTGGACAAACTTTGAAATTACTTGTGCGGTCTTGAGTGTACCACAGCTGGAACTTGGGTTGGGAGGGGGGACTGTGTAGTACTTGGAGTCATGATACTCAGTCTTCAGTGTTTAGCAGGATGACCTATTCTCTTAAACACTTCTGTAAATTTTGGACCTCTGGTAAGGGCACTTCTCAGAAGAGAGGAACAGAGTAAGCTTTTGGTGTGCTTACTAGAACTGTTGCTGACTGAAAGTGTGTGTGTATCTGATATATACGTAAGCTGAGTTTCATTGGTCTTACCTCTGACTTCAATTTCCTAGGTTAATCACACCATCAGGCCATTGCTGGATGTCTACTTTCCTAAGGAATCTGGTGTTAAGGTGATTGCAGAGCCTGGATGTTACTATGTTTCATCTGCATTTACACTAGCAGTTAACATCATTGCAAAGAAGACTGTTGAGTATGATAAACTTCTTCCTTCTGGAGGTAAAGGTGGTATTTATCTTTTACATGGTATGAATCAGTACAGATAACTGCCCACTTCTAGTCCGGATGGACTCATTTGTCTCAGCATATATTTAATACGTTCCCTTATGCGTGCATTGTAATCTCCCCTTTGGGTTCTGACCATATGTTATCTGTGTATTTTTCTTTGTTACATTTATGTGGCACTTCTTGTTCCCTTACTAGGTTTGACTTCTCAACAGTTAAACCTGTTTTTGGTGGTTTACAGAAGATGTATTGGAGGGTTCTGTGTTAGAAGTACATAGAAAAACATATCGTAGAGCAAGCTGCTTCTCTGCTAAAGTAGAAATTGAATTTATTTTCTTAACAGTAACTATGACTGAAAGTATTAATTTTATTAAGCCTCACACTTAATGTTACAACTGAATTTATAATTGGTCTCTACAGATACTCTGCTTGTAATTCACCCATTTCAGTATGTATGCAATCCCCTTGTCAGGAGAAAGCAGTTGACTTAAGTTAGGTTGCAAGAGGACTACTTATGACAAAAAAAAATGCATGCAAGACAACTTCTTTTTTTTTTTACTTCCAGTGGAGCAAACCAGGAATGAAGATGAACCAGTATTCACGTATTACATAAATGATGGTGTTTATGGTTCTTTTGCAAGTAAATTGTCTGAGAAATTCAATACTATCCCAGAGGTTCACAAGGTGAGTCCTTCTATATTCTTCAGAGGTAGTCCTTGTTGTTCTTTTTTATATATATTTAACACTTCATATGTATATAATTATGTATGATTTATAAAATTATCCTTATATATATTTGAAAAATGTCTTATTCAATAAACTGAGTCCTGAATTACCTGGATCGTTTCCATATAGAAATACAAGGAAGATGAGCCTCTGTTCACAAGCAGCCTTTGGGGTCCATCCTGTGATGAGCTTGATCAGATTGTGGAAAGCTGTCTTCTTCCTGAGTTGAGCGTTGGAGATTGGCTGATCTTTGATAATATGGGTTCTGGTACCTTAGGTGAACAGTCTACCTTTAACAACTATCAGAGGCCGCTGATTTACTACATGATGTCTTTCAGTGACTGGTAAGAAAACTCTCTTGATAGTGGCAAGATTGTGTTCACTTCCTTCATGAGTGTACGCTTACAGCCAAATATAAATTGCATTTGATGGCAAATATAGGAGGATGTGACTGAGTGCAAGAATGTGCCTTTTTTAGTTTGTGGATTGGGTTTTTTTACTGACTTTGCTACAACTAAACTGAGAGCTGTGATAAAATGCCTACTTTGCTTTAAGGCTGACAAAGGAGAGCAAAATACCTAATGTTGACTGTGAGCTTAGTGGTAGTTGTAAAACCTTTTACTGTTTAACATCAGCTTTCCTAATGTTAGTAACCTCAACTTGCGTACAATGTTAGCAGCACCGTTGTAGGCAGGAAGGGCAGTAACGCTGTTGTGGCTGAGAGCTGGGTAACCTGTTCCAGTAGCCAAGGTAGCCAGGGCCCCGTGCTTCTGCTGGTGGAGAGTCACAGCCTTTCTGTGTCTGCCAAGCCCTGGCGTAGCTGAGAGGGGGCCAACCTATCCAGGGGCCGGAGGCTTCAACTGCTGTCTGCAAGGCTGGTTTTGGATGTGGCATTGTCCATGACAACACTTCATTACAACTCTCATCCTTTTCTGCCGCAGGGATGAGATGCAAGATGCTGGAATTGCTTCAGACACATTGATGAAGAACTTCTTCTTTGTGCCTTCTTGCAATCAGCTGAGCCCAGAAGACCGCTTTTCCACTGCAGCTTAAACAGGCATTAACGCTTCATGTAGACCTGCAGTTGCAAGTCTGTAGTTTGTCTGGTCAACATTCCAGTCTGGAAGAAATGGAACAATCTTGAATTCAATTCATTCTCTTCAAAACTTGAAAAAATAGTGATAGTTAATGGGGACCAGGCAAAAAAGCTACAGCTACAATTCACCGGGGGGTGGGAGGGTTAGATAATGGTGTCCAAATTTAAAATCAAGTTCATTCAACCCCTGAGCGTTTAAATATGCAACAAAATGGATGACTTAGTGGAGATGGAAACCCATCACTTGGGTTCTTCAACAGTTTACATACAAGTACACAGTTTTTATACTAAGGATTCCTGTTAGAAAAGTCTTGTAAAGTTATGTCTTTCGCCCAGATATATCAAATGTCAGTGGGAGACCAGTGTGACTTCATTAGATGTTTAGTGTATTTAGAATGTGTAAATTTGTGCTTTGAACTGTAGTTTAATAAATGTAAAATTGCATCATAGTATTTGTTGTATTTGACCCTTGATGTATCCCTTGTATGATTGCAATAAAACTTTGTGTAGATTTTACTGTTTTCAGGCTAACTTTGGGAGGGGCTAGGCAGAAGAGGTAGCTATAAAATAGATGTATACATGATTGTTTTGAGAAGCCTTCTTTTCTCTAAGCCTGTTATTTTTGCTTTGTATTAAGCCATAAAAAAACTTGACTTTCACTTCATACAGGTTTATCAATCTTATGTAAGTTCCTGGAAGGCTAAAAGGCAATTTGTGGTGTGTTTTTTAGAGTATGACCTTAGATTCAGTTCTTAACACCAAACAGTAAATCTGCAACAGATACAGCTGTGCACAGAAGAGGTTGGCTTTTAGCTAGTGTGCAGGTCTTGTCCCTGAGGCAGTGTGGGTTAGTCCAGCTCTGCATCTTTTTTTTTAATGGTGTTTATTGAAGAGTCTAACTTTCAACTTCAGCTAGTTCTGTATAGTGCTGACTCTAAGAGAAGGGCTACATAAGTCTTTAGAAATCTCAGTGCTCTCTTGTGTTGGACTTCATTTAAATGTATATCCACAAAGTAAAGGTAAAGCACGCTACTAGAAGTGCATACACCAACTGCATTGAGTAACTGGAACTGCTGAAACTGTTCAGAGGATTTCTTTATTATGTTACTGGAGCCTCTTGATTTCTTCAAGGCCCTTTTCTTGCTTTCTCAACTTAACTTCCCCTACTTGGAAACTGGGGGAAGGAGGAGAAGGGGTGTCAAGGCTTTGAAATGGTCTGGATGAAATGGTTATTGGTCTGGATCCTGTAGTCAAAGGGGACTTTTTTAACCCTTTACTTGAAGGTTAAAAAAAGTGTATTTTACATGAGTAGGAGCTGGTAGGAAATCTTAACTTCTGGCTCTATAAAGCAAAGATTTCATAAAACTTGATGAACTTCTACTTGAAAGTAAAGAAGCTTCTCAATTTGGACTCAGCTTGTCTGAATAGTTTTACAGGCCAGCTCTAAAACAGGTACAAAATGGCTTGTTTTGAAGATACAGTCTAAGAAATATTTATTACTGGAATTAAATGTGGAAGTAGGGAAGGGAGTAAATAATGATAGTGGGAAAGCTGGTTTTTGCTTTTGTGGTTTGTTTTTTTTTAAACTGAAAGTTAATAGCCATTGCCATGTTTCAAGAAGTGATACGCGTTTCGGTCTACCAGTTGAGGTATTTCTCTACACAAAACATAGACTGCTGCGTGGTTTTTGACTAAATTCAAATTACAGTTGCCTAAGATAATTTGAAAGGATTCTGTTATGCAGCCTTAAGGAGAGTTGTTTTATGTTAACTTACAGATCAGTTGAAAAATTCCTCTATAAATGATACAGTGGTCAGAGCAGAAATATTCATTGTACTTGAGGACAGTTTGCCATTAAAAACAACCTGGAGTTTGAATGCAGTATGTATTTCAATTTGATTTGCTAGGTGTTACTATTTATATTGTAATTTCAGTTCAGAATTTTACTCAAAATATAAAAGCGGAATGGTTTCTATAGAGTGCTTGGAACTAACATAGCTCTGTCATGCTCAACACCCATCTGCCATTCCTTGCTGACGGAGGCCACTGCTGGTAGGGCTAGATACCGATGTCGGCAAACAGCGTTTCGGTGTATTCACTCGTGGTGTGGGCTGGGCAGATCCCACCTTCCCTGGTACAGCACTACGTCTGCATGCCATGTCCCAAGGAAGATCTAGGGCCGCAGCCCCACACAAGGCTGTGTTACTGGTGCTGCTGGTTGTTCCTCGGGGATGGGAGAAACCCATTCTACCATTTCCTTCTGTGGCAGCAGCTGTGCAACTGCCTTACATGGGCTCAAAAAAAAAGTGGGTGCCCTGGATCCACCACTGGATGTGTTGCCACTTCACATGCATATATACATGCATTCTTCATGGCTGCTTTTTGGGGGGCAGCGGAGTAGTCTCTTAAATGTGTTTCATAGTAAGCTTATACAGGTTTGAACCCTGCTTTTTTTTTTAAATTTTTTTAAATTTAAATTAAAAATCCAAAACTTAAACAGAAGCAGATGCTTTAAAATATAGTGTGCAGTAAAGTACCAGATTTTTCCTTTTGGAAAAAAACCTGCTTTTAGTCCCTGGTAACTGGGTAACTGCCATACTCTGGTCTAGCTTATCTTGCTGATCTGCTCTGCTCTCCGCCTCTCCCAAAGACCCTGGGGACTGTACAGTCCCTCTCCTCTTGCCTGAGGAGCAGAGCAGCCGTGCCCTCAGGGCTTTGCCAAGGCCTTGGGCAGCAGCTGAAAAGCAAAGACGGCCCTGAAGAGAAGCCTCAACTGCAGGAAGGCCCTGGTGCCGCTGCTGAGAGGAGGGTGCCCCTGCCAAGAGAAGAAAGAGGGTCTGTACCAAAGATGGTTTGTCTTCATGGGTCTGGCTGTAACTGAAGGAGAAACTCATTCCTGTGTCTGCTGCAGTTCTCCGGTTTGTGTGCTGCAGGAAGGGTTTAGAGGACACACGTTTAATTTTTCCTTATGGTGGAAGCACTATGCTGACTGTGGGCTTCTTGCTCATTCTCTGAACTCTTTTTTTTTTTTTCCCATCCTTTATTCAAAATCAAAATTTCAAGTAAGTAGTGGTGTGTAATTCACGACAACAATTTACTACTATATATTGTTTTAACAGGTGGTGGGAGTTGGGCACTTCAAGTCACTGCCCTGAGGGTTAGGGAAAATCATGACCCGTTACTGCCCACAGCCCCTGCCCGACAGGCACTGCTTCCCACCACGGCGGGTTTGTTTGCAGTGCCGGTACTGAGCCTGCCAAGGGAAGGCAGGAGAAGACATTGTAAATCCAGGGCTGTTCCCTGACAAATGGGGGAGCCTGTCTGCTCTGCATGCCTGGGAGAGGGGGTGGGAGCGGCGACAGGGCGAGTGGTGCCCCCCTTTATTACTTCTTATCATCATCCTTGGAATAATGAGCTTTCTCTCACTTTGTATTTTAATCTCTTTGCAACTGCATAGTCTTTAATCTGAATTAGGGGCATTAATAGGATTACCCCATCAGCTACATAGGACAAAGCTAATTGCGCTTGTCGGCCTGAGTCAGAAAAGAGAAGCTTTTGGGGAGGTGGCAGCAGGAGCTGGTTTTCCCCTGTCTTCAGTCTGACCGGCTGCTTCTCATCATCTCTGGGCCAAGAGCCAGCAACCTCCACTTCCAGGTAGGTCTTTCTCCAAAGATTATGTTGCTGTTCCCATAAGTTCTGTTGAATAATACTTTATTTTAATGTACTCTGACTGAAATGGTGCAGTAGGCAGTAGTGCAGACCACAGCCTCTATCAAATGTGCATCATGTAACAACACGTGTCGTACTCTACCACCTCAATATAGGGCAGATACTTGGTATCAGTCAGAAATGGGAAGGAAAACTATTTCAGGCCCTGGAATTTATAGTGGGATTTAGCAAGTGCCTGCGTGATTTTAGATCCCGATTGCATGTTTTGCTCGACTACACAGCCTCTGAACATGACCCTTCTTCATACCATTAGGAAAAACACTCATATATTTGTGTCACACGTTTATTACGCTTCTTAAATGGAAATACCTGCTGTTAAGGTGGTGAAGCAGAGGAGAGCTGATGCTTCAGGTCGCAGCAGCAGCAGCAATACAGCCCAGTCACTTGTGCATTGGTTGCTGCAGCCAGTGAGGTGAAAGCAGAGATGGCAAAGGGATGTGCTGGGCAGCAGCAGTTTGTGTTCAGCAGAAATGATGGACTCCAGCACTCGGGTCTGACACTCTTCTCCCGGCAAATCCCCTTTAAAAAAAAAAGAGCGATACCTAGTG